AAAGTCTCTATTCTTTTATTGAGCCTCTCCTAAATTTTTTTTCGTGACTTCGTCGCTGCGCCCACCAAACCCGGTAGCAGACTAGCTGGCCGAGGCAGCAGCAGGGTCGGCTCAGCTGTGCTTGTGCTGTGCCTCCAGTAGTACCCGTACGTGCCTCCTGCTCGGAGCACGTCAGTGTAGCGCGAGCCTTGTCCTTCACGCACGTTCCGGCCACCGCCTGTGACCCGTGACCAGAGCGGCGCGGCGGGTAGGGGCTGACGGGGACGTCAGTGCGTGCTGGGCCTGGCGGCCAGGCGGCCAGCCGCCAGCCACTAGCACAGCGCAGTCCGGACGGTGGCACCGTGCTGGAATCATTGCCGTCCCAAAAGAAGGGCGGCGTTGTGTCCGCTCTAGTGCCGCGACATGCTTTTGTTGTCCCGTGCTGGGTCTGTCTGTCCGTTGAATTCGCGTGCTCCGTTTCCCGCCGCATCCCTTGTCACCCAGGGTTGAAAGTCGAAACTGTCAAAGACGACCTCCACGGCATTGGCAGTACAGCGATGCAGAGGTGTTCAATACTTGCACAATTAGCAGAGCCACTTACCCTTAAATTCGCGCGGTGCGCGCATGCGGGCGTGTGAATTTCCAACGCGGCATTACAAATTCAGAAGGCTAGTAGAGGAGTGAAGGAGCACGCAGCAGAGGTGAGAGACGAGAGGTGAGCGGACCGGAGAGAAACAGCGGACTCGCAGAAGTGGGCGCTAACCCCGCTCAAACGTCAAACCGAGGAGTGGGGAGGAATCATGTCGTACCCATCCGTCGCCGTCGCCTGGCGTCCTCGTCCTCGGCCGACTGCCTACCGCTCTGTCCACACCCACTTCCTACCCAAAACCGGCTCGGCTCAGCCAGAGCATCTGCCACTGTCACTCTATACCTGAAACTCGTTTTAGGACGCGTCGTTTCAGCTTAACTACATCATGATTCATGAATCTTTGCATACCGTATTATGAGCTCACAAAGGTACTGATCGGTTTGGAGCCAAAAGGGAACATACTACTAATCGATTCTGGAGATCTTCAGTCGCTGCCTCTTTAATCATGTGAGAGGGCCTTGGTAATCAAGTACGGTTTGCATCCAAATTTATACGCCTATATTTGTTTGAATGATTAACATTCTGCAACAGAAAAAGTCATGTGCTACGGTTGGCAATTTTAGCTATTCAAGGAATTGTTAAATATTTCCAATGCAGGCCGCAACGGGAATTCGCGCTGGTCGTGGGCAAATAAGATAATCAGTTTTGACTCGTGATGATGAAATTAGTTTAAGTTAAAGGGGAATATGTATGGGATGCATTAAAGGGGAGTACAAGTTAAAACGAAACCTTTGTGGGAATCGTAAACTAAGACGGGAAAAACGGCGAGCACTAATACATGGAAAAGAACACTACCATGATTAGGGTGCCACAATCGACAAAAAAAAAAGGAGCTCATGCGTTTGTCCAGTTCCTTTATCTTCTTGATGAGATGACGGGTTTTGCCGCTTACAAAAGTTGTTTTAAACCGTCTGGTTCTACAGTGTATACGTAGTGCCGTACTGTAGTACAGTAAATTTTTTAATCGCTAGATTAGCGCGAGTATGCTGTGCTAGTATGCAGAAGTTTTGTTAAGGCTGGGTTGGTGGGCCCGCACCCGCAGGGGAGGCGGCATCCAATAAAGCCGAAACGCATTTTGGGGCTGTTCGGCTGGCTGGGCGGTGGGTGGCTGGCTGGGCAGCCTCCTCACGAATCACTGTTCTCGTGAACAGTGATTTCAGTTAGAACAGTATTTTTCTCTCACAATAATTAGCTGGAACAGTATTTTAATTTATTTTTAGTCTTGCCGAACAGGCTCTTTGCAGCCCGCTCTCCGAACTGTGTCTGAGTACGTGTTGTTGTTTCGCCCAGGAACGAAATATAAAAACTGAATTTAAATCGAAAGCTGCGCTGTTCGTGCCATGATCACTGTCGCGCCTCTCGATCGTCCGCCGGTGGGGTTACCCCATCACCTCCATTCCTGGCTGGTTTTTGCTTTTTCTTTCTCCTGGTCTCTTCTCTCTTGTCCAGTTGGACTGCTGCTGCTGTTCGTACACTCACCCTACATCGTAGAGTCTGCGGGGTATGCTTCGTGGTTAGGCTGTCATTAGTTCGCGAAATGAAAATTTTTGATGTCACATCGGATGTTTCGGGGATACTGGAAGGGGTTTTCGGATATTAATAAAAAAAATACATGGAAACCGCGAGACGAATTTATTAAGCCTAATTAATCTATCATTAGCGCATGTTAGTTACTGTAGCACTTATGGCTGATCATGGACTAATTAGTCTTAAAACATTCGTCTTGCGATTTCCAACAAAACTGTGCAATTAGTTTTTTTTTCGTATATATTTAATACTCCATGCATGTGCCGCAAGATTCAATGTGATAGTTTGGGGTGAAAATTTTTAGGAACTAAACCAGGCCTTACTAGAGCTTAAACTTACACTATCATGTTTGGATAGTGAGCTACTTGTGGGTGTTTTTATTATTGCGTAAACCTTAACTTCAAGAGACTACTCCTTTCGTCTAAAAAAACTCGTGTCCAGGTTTAAAGCTAGAATTACGTTTTTTCTGAACGAAGGGAGTAGACGGGAGAACTCTTGGAATTGCTTTCCATTGTCTTGTTGTGAACATTTCACTAGCTATAAAACACTTCTAGTGACTACTGTTTACTAGTATTAAGAAGTCAGTGCCCTTGTATATCCTTTTTGTGATGTTGTTGTTACCTATCCCATATTTTTTCTAATTTGGGCCTCGTTTAGTTCGGCCACCGAATCGGCGCCAACAAATTTCCGGCGGTACTGTAGTTACAGTACCATTTTTATTTTTATTTGGTAATGATTGTCTAATCGTTGACTAATTTGGCTCAAAACGTTCGTCTCGCAAAGTACAACTAAACTGTGCAATTAGTTTTTAATTTCGTCAACATTTAGTACTCCATGCATGTACCGCAAGTTTGATGTGACGGGGAATCTTCTTTTTGCATAGTGTCAAATTCTGGAATTAGGGAAACTAAACATGGCCTTGTTATGCAAATTTCGGTTTCTCTAATGTCTAATCACTAACAACCTCCTCTTACCCTGCAGGTATAGTTCTCACCCTGTGATAACATCGGCTTACTCCCACAACTGTCTCCCATCTTTCTAAGTCTATCTAACCTCAATACATTCCTTCGTACATGGTTATTGACACTAGATTGGACATTGGACGGGCGTAGACTCTGATTCATGATCTTATTAGTCTTAACAGTTAGCCTGCTAGTTTGAAACAGTTTAAACAAAACTAAGTTTAGTGCCGAATTCACATAACACATAGCCCGTGTTTAGTTGAGTGAAGTTTGGAATTTGGGCTACTGTAGCACTTTCGTTTTTACTTGGCAATTAGTGTTCAATCATGGACTAATTAGGCTCAAAACGTTCATCTCGCAATTTCCCATCAAACTGTGCAATTAATTTTTTTTCCGTCTACATTTAATGCTCCATACACGTATCATAAGATTCGATGTGATGCATACTGCAGCATTTTTTGAGAATTTAGAGGGGAACTAAACACGGGCATAGTTCAAATGGTGGCAACCCTCCTTGACAAGGACAAGGTCGCATCTCCATGTAGCCATGGTTTCTTGAGTAGCACATGTGGTAATCGATTGGTCTTTTAACAATACAAACCATACAAGGCCTTTGTTTAGATCATGTGCGCCGAGGTGGATTAGAGCATAATTTTGTTTAATTTCCACCTAAATCCGCTACGGATTGGGGTAGATATGAATATATCCAGACAAGTCCCAACCTAGTTGGATTACTGTACTATACTTGACACGGATGGAACAGTGTGGATGTTATGATTCCCTTTTTTTTGCTAGGATTATCAATCTGTCCAAATTCAATAACTCTGCCCTACTATTGTACGGAGTATTTAGTTAACGAAGCATGAAATTAAAAAGCATGACAAAAACAGAGGTGCAAAATGGCACGACACCATTTAACCTCTCACTTTTTGCCTCTGTAGAACTCTGCTACTCATCTTCTTTTGACCAGTGCAAAAGTTCCTGTTTTTTTCTCTTGTTTACTTACTTTTTATTTTAAAATAAGAAAATGACAGGTGCACACACGGGGCAATCAACGGCAAGTCACCCGTCCACTCACCGGTAGGTGACCCGCCTCCTCTCACCCCCACTGGCTGCATCCGGGCCCCACCACGGTACACCAGGCCTACCACGCCACTTCCAGTTCCACACGATCAGCGATATAATAAAAACCAAAAATATTACCGCTACCTCCGTTTTCGTTTACTTGTCACCAAATTTTTACGGTAGCAATTTTGACCATACGTTTTTTCTGTAAAAGATTTTTAGATACATCAAGTTTACACATATATGATTCTTTATTGGACATACTTTATTAGTGTTATATACATTGAAGTATCTAAGATTTTTTTAAAGAAAAATAGATGGTCAAATTTATTATAGTAAAAAGTTGCTGAGAAGTAAACACAAATGGAGTGAAGTAGTAAACTGCAATTAGACTTATTAATCGGAAATAAAGCGCACCGTTATTTTCCATCTCACACTTTTCTCTTTACCCCTCCCTGTCTCCCCCCCTGCGTGTTCCCTCCCCTCTCGCCGAGCCATTCGATTCCTCTCCTCTCCGCTCCCCCAAGCAAATCGCCGCCATTTCGCCGATTCCGGCCGCTGCCTAGGGTTTCGGTGCCAGCGTAGTCGGAGGGCTGCGTTTGTGGGTCGCGTTCCCAGTGTCGCGCGCGGCGGCCGAAGGTGGAGGGGCGGTTCTGCGGAGAGGAGGTGGTGGTGGTGGTGGTGGTGGTCCCGGTTGCTGCGGAGCGCGGTCTCCAGGGAGCGAGTCTTTCAGATGCCTCGGCGGCCTACGAGGAGGTAGTGTGGCCGTGTGGAGCGAATAAGTGGCGGCTGCGGCGGCGGGACTGGCGGAGGCAGCCATGTTTTTCAGCAGGCTCGATGACTCGCCCATGTTCAGGAAACAGGTGAGGGGGCGAGCCGGATCTTGGTTCATGCTGTCTGTGGATCCTGCGCAGCGGTTGGGATGTTGATCTCGGCCTCTCGGGCGGGCGGGAGAGAGAAATGTTTCAGCTTTGTGTGCAATGCTTGGCTCCGGTGGCTCCCGTATTGGGCTGCGGGTGGTTGCATGGATCTGCCCCTTGTTTTTTTGGTTGTGCTGATGGGGAATGAGTGTGGAGACTCCTGACCCCTTTTGGTGTAACTTCGTCTCGAATTCAATTTTGAACCAATAATGCAGGAGCTACAGGTTTAAGGCTTCCTTTTAACCGTTTTGTGGCCTGTCTGATGTTTTCACAGTCACTTTGTGTTGTTAGACTATACTGATACATACAAACACGTGTCAAACTTTAGCCCTTTGCTGTGTTTCTTCTTTTGCCAATTCTCTATGATCTAGTATTTTGGTTGCTATTTTCTTTTGACAATTTATTGTTTTTTCAATGCAAAACTGGTAGCATAGCTTGCCTGTCAATGTGTAAATTTGGCATACATTGTGATAGTTTAGTGTACATTTTTGGAAATGTTTGATTCATTTGTGGGTTGTGGGTTGCGGAATGTATGCTTTAGTTTTTGTCATGATCTGGACAAAAATGCAAGGACTCTGAGGAATCATAAATTGTTTGTTATGCGGCCAAAGTAGGTGTCTTCAATTTTACTCATGCTTAATAGCTTGTTCAATTTCTGTGCGAAACATAATATACATTCGGTGAGGCTAACCTAACCTTTGTATCGCATTTGGGGATATTGCATTAACACTGCTTAACTTGTATTCCTTGTGTCGATAGATTTGGCCAAAGAACTTGCTTCCTTTGGTTCATGAATACTGATTAACTTGTTCCTCGCATTAATAGATGCAATCACTTGAAGAAGGGGCTGACTTGCTAAGAGAGAGATGTTTAAAGTTTCACAAAGGTTGTCGAAAATACACGTAAGTGATAATGTGCCATTTATGTAGCATATTTGGGCTTACCAAACCGGAAAACTCCGTCTCTGATTTGTGAATGTTATTATCAGATTATATGGGTTGGGTTTTAATTCGGGGTTTCTCTATGCCTCTCTAATTTCTACTTTTATTTCAGGGAAGGACTAGGGGAAGCATATGATGGAGATATTGCATTCGCAAGTTCACTTGAAACATTTGGAGGGGGTCATAATGATCCAATCAGTGTTGCATTTGGAGGTTAGTAATGTGGTTCTCGTTAAAATCCATGTATTCAAAACTTCAATTTGTGATATGAGCATGATAAATTTCTCTTGCCCTTTTCCTTTACTATTTGGTTGGTTCTCTTGTACATTACAACATTTACCTCTTCTGCAGGGCCTGTAATGACTAAATTTACAATTGCTTTGAGAGAAATTGGAACATACAAGGAAGTATTGCGCTCCCAGGTAGAGCATCAGTATGTACATTACTATGGTAGTGCTTTTCATCAAGAATACCTTTGTCTGTCACCAATCTTTAAGATACCGTAACTTGTCTATGGTTAATCTACTCACTCTACAGTATTTCATTTTAAGGTTATTTCGACAATTGCATGGTTGAATTCATCCTTGTGGTTGTATTGAAATCATATCCCCGTGCATTCATCACCCGGGGCAGAACTAATCCCATTTTGTTAAGTATTACAAACTTGCAATTACACTTCCACCTTATGTGGTATAACTGCTGTTGTATTGTTGTGATAGGTTGAGCATATGCTAAATGACAAGCTGCTCCAGTTTGTGGAAATTGATTTACCTGAAATGAAGGTATTGACATAGTTTTCTATAAAACATTGAACCTGTAGAATTCACACTTGAAAATTTATATGGTGTTAATTCGATAACATTTGCACAGGATGCTAGGAAACATTTTGACAAGGCTACCCTTCTTTATGACCAGGTAATACTTCAATTCTATTTCACATGGCCGTACAAGTCGATTCAAAATCTTGTAGAATAGCTTATTATGGTAGAAATGATCTATTTTTCCATTCTATTTACCTGTGAACCTAATAGCTAAGCCAACTTGGACTGGAGCTGGAAGGATCTCTAGACCTGTTGGCCAGTTTGCTTAGGTGTTATTTTTCTTTTCCAGCTACCGAATTCTAAGTCATAACAAATTGTAAGTTGTCTAGGATGAAAAGTGTCCGCCGTTTGTCCCACGGGGCTAATTTTGCTACTCTATAGCACTGAGTTTGTAGCTTTGTTTTCTTTTTGATGTGCCATCATGCTTCACACGTCAGTTCCTGGTACATTGTGAACAAAGCTTGAGTTGGTTTTTAGAAGGCTTGTTTCTTACTTCCACTTGTTTTTGTTTTCTTAACCAGGCACGTGAAAAGTATTTGTCCTTGAAGAAAGGTACAAGGACTGACGTAGCAACTGCAGTAGAGGATGTAAGTTTACCTTGACCTTATTGAGTGTCTTTCCAAACTTGAACGATAAGGTTACTTGCTGCCACTAAATTGCTTGTGACATAATCAGGAGCTTCACAGTGCCAGGTCTTCATTTGAGCAAGCTCGTTTCAATCTGGTACATACCCTGTTTACTTATCACTGTTCAGGATTCCTTATTTGCATAGTTGGAATGCCTTTGTCTTATCTATATTTATATTCAGGTGACTGCACTTTCAAATATTGAGGCTAAGAAAAGGTTTGAATTTTTGGAGGCTGTTAGTGGGACAATGGATGCTCATCTTCGTTATTTCAAACAAGTATATCCTTGCCATTATTTTCATATTGACATTTCTAGGTTATGTACAAATGTGATTCAAACTTCCTCTGTTGCTATTTCTTCAGGGATATGAACTACTACATCAGATGGAACCGTATATCAATCAAGTAACTCTCTTACCCATCACATTACTGAATTGCAATCACCTTCATATCTTTTGTTTTATAATGGTTTTGTTAATTACAATGCATCACACTCGGTTATTGAATTATGCAATTACAGACATAACCCCCCTCCTTGCCTTTCCATTTGCTGAATCTGACAAAGGTTGCTTACATCATGCTCTCTCTCTCTCTGCAGGTTCTTGCTTTTGCACAACAATCAAGAGAAAGGTCTAGCTATGAGCAGGCTGCTCTTCTTGAGAGGATGCAAGAGTTCAAACGGCAAATTGATCGTGAAAGTCGGTGGTCACCAAATGGAATGAATGATTCCCCTAACGGTGATGGAATACAAACAATTGGTAGAAGTTCGCATAAGATGATTGAGGAAGCAATGCAATCAGCTTCAAAGGGCAAGGTAACCGGATACTGGAACTATCCGAAGACAATATTCATGCATGCATGGTTGTGTAATTTCATCTAAGAAGATGCATGTTTTATACTGAAAAGTAAGCACCTATTTTCAGGTTCAGACCATTCGCCAAGGCTATCTCTCTAAAAGATCTTCAAACTTGAGAGGTGATTGGAAAAGGAGGTTCTTTGTCCTCGACAGTCGAGGAATGTTATACTATTATCATAAGCAGAACAGTAGACCATCTGTAAGCATTCTCACAACACTTTACAATACTCGATCTGAAATAGTTTTTTCACACACTTAATTAGTGTTTCAGTTAATATTATCTCATCATTTTTGTCCCAATTTTGATTTTGTAGAGTGGTTATTCTAACCAAAGAACTAGCATTCCCTCAGAACATGGTTCTGGGTTGCTCAGCAGATGGTTCTCTTCTCATTATCATGGAGGCGTGCATGATGAGAAATCAGTTGCACGCCATACTGTAAACTTGCTAACATCGACCATTAAAGTTGATGCAGACCAATCAGATCTACGGTTCTGCTTCAGAATAATTTCTCCCACAAAGAACTATACATTGCAGGTATGAAGCTTAAATGCATATTTTGATATCTGTTTTTCTTTATACAGGACGATGTTATATGAAGCTGTTCAATAGCCATACTTGTGATATTGATTTCTGTCTAGTGATGTGCACCGGATATTGTGCAGGCAGAGAGTGCAATGGATCAGATGGATTGGATTGAAAAAATTACTGGCGTCATTGCTTCTTTGCTGAGCTCCCAATCCCCTGAACGAGTAAGTGATGAGTAGTGAACATTGAATTATTTACATATCGAATTTGATTTATGTGACATCTGTATTTTGTTTACAGCGTCTTCTATTGAGTCCTAAGGGCAGCAGCCATCATCGAACTGCCAGCTCAAGCAGTTCATTCAGTAGCTCAACAGAACTTGAACATTCAATAAATGAAGATTGTATGCTGGAAAAGAACTCAGGAGTGGTTATTTTGAGCATTCTGCAAGAGTTGCACAGCATCACCGAACAAGCATGATGAAACCTGACAAGCCAATTGACTTGCTTAGGAAGGTGGCTGGTAATAATAGCTGTGCTGATTGTGGTGCTTCAGAGCCTGATTGGGCATCCCTGAACCTTGGAGTTCTTCTATGCATAGAGTGTTCTGGGGTACACAGAAATATGGGTGTGCATATATCTAAGGTAAACTAGAAGGCTTCTCTGCAATTTACATGAACAAAAGTTTGATCATATAACTGTAGAATTCAGATATATTGTTCTGCAATTAGAATTTGTTGGGAGTCTTGGATGATACTTGTGTATCTGTGCATTACCCATGCTTTGTGCCAACCAGGCGCTGTAGGTTGCAGTATAGTGACTATTATAGCTCTCTACTGTAAATTGGGTATATTTCACTTGAAGTCATCATTAATATGACCAATGGACTGAAATTTACATTGTATTGGCAGGTAAGATCCCTGACGCTTGATGTCAGGGTTTGGGAGCCATCTGTAATCAATCTCTTTCAGTCAATAGGCAACACGTTTGCCAATACTGTCTGGGAAGAAATGTTACCTTCATCAAGCTGTGTTGACCATGGTGATATTTCAAGGTAACATTACAAAAAGTCTTACAAAGTAACTAACATTACAAAAGCTGTAGAATTTATTATCCTTTTGTTGCCATAACTTGCAAGTTCTACTTTATGCAGGGCTGATGGATTAGAGAACATGTCGCATGGCTTTGCACCCAGCAAGCCTAAACAATCTGATTCTATCGCAGTGAAGGAGAAATTTATTCATGCCAAGGTACTCCCTCCGTCCCATAATAGATGACATTTTAGCTCTGGGCAGGGGAATTAAGGAGTGAAAAAAGGTGTAGTGTACATGAAACGAGAACAAGAGAGATTTGGGAAAAGAGAAACATTGGGAAGTGAGTTTGGGACAAGTGTAGAAGGCTAGAAGGTTAAGTATTATGGGACGGAGGGAGTACTTTATAGTTCTTTTATTAGTACTGTTTATTCTAGTTTTTCAACAAAGAATCATTATACCACTGATCAGCAATATTGTGAATTTATATGTATCAAATCAAATGATGTTACATGAGCAGCATCTATAGGTTACGTCTGTTCTTAGGAAATGTCCATGAATTGTACTGATCATAACTTTTAATGCGTCACTGTCTTCTGCTGAAAAAGAAGAAGTTGAGAGATTTTTTTGTAACTTTATAAAGTATAATTAATTGTTGATTATTTTCTCTTGATTATTTCAGTATGCTGAAAAGGATTTTGTCGGAAACATAATGTCGATGAGATTCAACTTGCAGAACAGATGTGGGACAATGTAAGTTCAAACAACAAGAAGGGGTGTACAGTTTGATTGTGGGGTCAAATGCCGATGTAAATTTTTCGTGACGGTCATACATCATTTAATCCGGCTTTGACTCTGGGAAAAGCTCTCCTTCTACAAGAGCAATCAACTTCTCCGTCTAATGGAAGTTCTAGATGTTTTGACCGCAATCCACTTGAGAAGGGTTCTACTGGGGATTCTGTTTCTCCTGCCAGCACAAGTGCCCGTATAGATGGGTTGGATGATTATGTTGAAGGATTATCTTTGCTTCATCTAGCATGTCGTGCTGCGGATCTGGGCATGGTTGAACTACTCTTGCAGTACGGTGCCAATGTAAATTCTGCAGATTCAAGAGGGCGGACACCACTTCATCACAGCATCATGAAAGGGAGACATGTGTACGCCAAGCTACTGCTTTCCAGGTATGCAGAACTTATCATGCTGGTTGTAGCTTAACAGCAAATTGTGAAAGTCCAGGAAACTACAGAGACGAGGAGTTTATAATCTTACTTTCTCACTTTCCTTGCAGGGGCGCTGATTCTCAAGCCGTGGACCGAGATGGTAGAACAGCGTTACAGTATGCAATCGACAGCGGAACCATAGAGGACGAAGAGATCCTTGTTTTGTTAGAGGACCCAAGTAGATAAATCATGTAGGTAGTCAAGTCTTGAGTTCCTGATGTACCTTGTGCCTTTGTGGCCACCTTCCTGGCACACAGCCGAGGATACCTCATACCTTTGCTGATATTCTTAGTTTGTGGCAAGAGGAAGTTATAGTTTTCTAGGTCTATCTGCGGTTTTGGTCGCGTTTAGGTTAAAGTGGCCTGTTTGTCGTGGATGCAGTTTGTGAGTTGTTTTGCCTTTGTTTGCGGATGTTGCAGTGTACATTGGGAAGTGGGAAGTGGTTGCCATTGTTGTGACAGATGTACATACAGCGATGTCTGATTCAGGTAATTTATGCAAGAATTAGATTGGTGAAAATGTGGCTGTCTGCCTGCCTGTCTTGAGTCTTGATCGATCAGATACAAAGTCTACTACGCTGTTGTACATGTTGCCGACAGCAGGCTACTCTGATTCTGATGAGCAAGATGCTTAGCTGCAGCTTTTGCTTCGCACTGCTGGCATTGGCTGCGGAGTCAGGTTGAACAAGCCCATCACCGTCAGCATGGATGAGCGGATGCAGTCAGGCAGGCAGGCTACAAGGCTGCACTTGCACAGCACAAGCTTTTCAGGCAATCCTGTTGCTGTTGGTGACAAGTGACAGCAGAGTTGTGTACGCCGGCATGGCTGCATCAGATCAGATCTCAATCTCGTCACCCCCGAGAACGCGTCGTCGTCCTCGTCCTCGCCGATCAGGGCGTCGCTGGCAGGGCCAGGGAAACCGAACCCCGGCTGGATGCGTCGATGCCCGGAGTTTAATCGCAAGGTAACAAGGAGGGAGGTGGCGAGGTGCCCGTCGTTCAGCTGCTGACTGCCCACTTGGCGTCTGGGGTTGCGTGCGTGCAGTGCAGCCGTGCAGGCATCAGCCATGCCGCCGCATGCGCCGACCCCCGAGCACAGGCGAGCAGCAGCAAGGTCTTGGAAGGATGCGAGAGGCCGGCTGCCTCAACGTGTACGAGCATGGCGTACAAGAACACGCCGAATCGCCAAACCGTGGCTGGTCTAATGGTACCGCCGGAGCGTGTTGACAACACGGCGGGGGGCGATTAATGTAGGAGCATTTTCGTAGCCACTCGCTCCGCCTGAAAACAGGAAGCTTTGTTGTCGTTTCCTTGGGAGTACTACTTCACCTAGTAGTGTGTGTGTGTTTTGACAATGCTGCCATTAAATTTCATACTAAAAAATGCAGCTATGATTGTAGTTTTCTTTTTCTATCACACATGAAAACGAGTCCATGTCCTAACGTTGTAACCGAACGCAATATGTCTTAGAATTGGCCTCCGGATCATTTCTAAACGTGAGCGAGTTCAGGTAAATTACGAGACGCGGATAGCGGAAGAGCAATTTGAGAAGTACAAAAAGATGGACCGAAGAATCACTTCGCTCTTTAATAATAATATAAGTCAGAGGATGGAATCATTTTCGTGGCGGAGAATAATTTCCTACTTTCTCCAAACTAAAGATGGCAAGGATCATTGGGTAAGTGACTCTATGTGGGATTATGACAATTACCAGCTTATCATCTTCAATTGGGAGAAGGACAAGTGCGGATTGCTGTGTATAGGGATTGACCTTTTTTGGTTCATTCATGTCAAAATGCTTGCATCACTATCCTTCCATGTAGGCTAAATATAAGTGGTAGTATATATTCACTTCACCTAAAATACAATAGATTCTTAGCTATACTAAGTCAAACCATGCTAAATTTGATCAAATTTGTTGAAAAAACTAGGCAAGTACATTGATGCAGCCACTGCCCTAAAGGCTCCAAGCTAGCCACCACCGTTGCCACCGCCATCAGGGCACCTCGCGGCCGTTATCTATGGGGGCCCTTCTTCCTATCCTATGGCTTCGACAATGGCCACAACAAGGTCACTATTGTGAGAGACAATTTAATCGGTAGGAGGTTAGTTTGTAGTCACTATCTACAAGAGCAAGGGTGCTCATGGGCACTTCCCATGGAGATATCAATTCTGGATCGCCGATCTCATTGTTCATGGCCACAGAGCGGAAATCAGGTGTCCACCTTGATGGACCAAAGGTTGGAGGTGCTGAATCTGTCGCTTGTGTTGTACTCGACGATTCAACCTCCGGTGTTTTTTTATCAAATTAGATATGTGTCAGTCTGGTTCTGAAATATTGGATCTTGTGGCATGTCTGTAGTTGTGGTTGGTCGCTAGATTCAACATGAGGACCATATTGTGGCTTTGGTGTTCGACAGAGTTATGCTATGATTATTTGGAGCATTGGTTGTATCGACCAAGACTGCTAGGCAAGAAAACCATAGGAGCAATTAGAGAGAATTTTTTTTATTTTAAAATTCTTTTAGGACCTGCTTGGTGATCCTAATTGAAAACAATATCTAGAAAGTGATTTCTATTTCATTACTAGATTATTTTTCAATTCCTCTCAATTTCTGAGAACCACAAACCTTTTTTTTTGCGGGGGAGAGAACCAAACAGACCTTATATGTAGTTTGAGGATGTACCACATCAAATGTTATATAATTCTCTGTTTCCTTCATAAATTTTTATAAATTCTATCAAAATGATTTTCAGGACAGAGGGAGTACGTACCTGAGTGCGCATAGAAATATTGCGTCCAATGAACCGTACGTACGTGTGCAAGGAGAAGAAGAGTTAAATACTGATATTTAGTATACATACACAGCAGTGTCACAGGTCAAATTTCTGCAAGTGCAGCGTGCCATTAACCAAGAGTATACGTACCGGTGGTACATAGACATGGCTACGTCTACGTGGGAAGCTAGGTCTAAAGCCTACGGACCCGGATGAGCAACTTCTCTCGCTCGTCAGTACGTACGGTATATATAGGACGATGAAAGCACGATCCATCGAAACGAGCGAGAAATGAATTTTGATGCACTTCGAAATTTGTCTTTAATCCCGGTATTTTTCGCGCTCGGGACTAGAGAAATCTTTAGTCCCGGTTGGTAGTTTCAACCGGAACTAAAGATCCCTGCCCAACGGTTACCGAGGTGTGTCAGAGGCACATCAGTGCGAGAATCTTTAGTCCCGGTTTGAAACATGAACCCGACTTTTAGTCCCGGTTTGAGACACGAACCTGGACTAAAGGTACCTTTAGTCCCGGTTTATGTCTCAAACCCAGACTAAAGGTGTCTCCAAACTGAATTTAAAAGGAAAGCGTATCTTATCTAAGTTAGATGTGTGGTGGTAGGTAAGATGGTAACGCGTGTAAGAGCTGAAGTGGGAGGTCGTAGATTCGAATCTCCACAGCTGTAACTTTTTGTTTACCCAATAAACACCTCTACTCCCGGTTGAAGAAACCGGGACTAAAAATCAAGACCTTTAGTCCCGATTGCATAGTCCCGGTTCCAAAACCGGGATTAAATGGGGTTGAGAACCGGGACTACAACTAGGTTCTCTACTAGTGCTAGCAGTGCGCATGCCTTTCGCAATATATATATCATGTTAGAAAGAAAAAGAGAAAGCCTAGCAACTCTAACTAAATGTCCATAAGCATTCACATTTATTCTCACCAAACATGCTAGAAAAAACACCATAGAATTCTCACAAAAATGACAAAAATGGGAAAATATACATGGCCACTTATGCTAACGTGGCACACTTAAAGAGTGTAGTCTACGAGTGAAAATGTTTATTTTTTCATAACATACAAAAGGAGAGAGTTAATAAATATATAATAAGCGAAAGGGCTTCAACTTAATTTAAGAATAAAAAAATCTGTGTCAACTAACAAGACTAAATGTAAAATTAAAATCTAAATTTGTGCTGCCATAGATTATGTCTCGCAAGATACTACACTGCGCGGATAGACACTAGTGTGAGGTGCAAATAGCTAGCTAGACTCGTCATGTCATCCATCACCTAGCTTTCATTCGTGCCCTCCTTAATATAAGGTCGGTTTGAAAAGTATTTTCTTGTCTAATCTAAGAGAGAAGTGAATGGAAGTCGTTTTAAAAAATAAGAGCAAAGGTGAAATGAATATAATGGATCCGAAGATGATGACGATGATGCATGCATGCCGCCGCTCGTGGAAGTCCAGTGATCTTTTTAGCCTTGTTTAGATATAGTCGAATTCACATTAATTCATATGCGTTGGATGGATTGGAGTAGAATTTAAACTAAATTCCACATCAATCCACTCTAACATATCCTATATAGATTAAGGTGAATCTGACAATATCCAAATAAGGCCTTACTTGTTTTCCTGTTCTAAAGCAGAAGTCGAGTTTGTTATTTGTCCTCTCAATCCATGGATGTATCTAGTATATATCCGCTATTCCGCTAGGCTCTGTTCGCTTATCTTATAATCCGTATTTTCAGTTTTTTTCAGTCAGAATAATGTTTTTCTCTCACAACAAATCAGTCAAAATAGTGTTTTGGTTTTTTTTTTCAACGAAGCGAACGAGGCACATGGCTGATGAAGCACGCATGCAAGTAACATGTACCGCCTGCGAAGCATCTACTACAGTAATACACTGTTTCCTATCTGAGCTATACGTACGTATATCAGTATATGTACGTGGGTACGGCACGTTGGCAGAATTCAGAAACGGTGAACGTACGTGCAGGGAAGATCGACGCGGTCTTGAAATCTCGAGATAGTATATAGCATATGGATCGAGTCTGATGGAGGCATGGAGCAGCTATCCTAGCTACTAGCTACGCCAATCGTCAGATCGAGAACCGGAGCTCCATCAATCTGCAAAGCTGCCCATGCATGCATGCAGAAGAAATTAACAATGGCCCGACCGGGCTACCTTTTGTTTGCAGCAGCAGTGCAGCGCCCAACAGCAGCGATCCATATGCGTTTGTGACTGTGTTCATCGATCTAATCGATCGATCGACCATGCATGCAGGCCCTTAGCTTTTCCTCTCAGCGGGGGACTGATTCCTGAATCCTGATCAGCTTGCTAGCTGGCGTCTAAGCTAGAACACGTACTCGATCTAGCTAGGTTTCTCGAGGCAATGACACAACCCCGGCCTGCCGGAACCAGCAGGACAGGGACAGGAAGGAGGGGACGAGAAAGGATGCAGCAGCCGAGCAGCGTCGCGGCTCTGCATGCATTCAGCTAAGCTTGACCGCTTGAGAGGATCGAAGCGGAGTGATCCCTGTATGTCTATTATCTCGGTCACCCAGACAAGAAGCAGTGTGTTCACGTGGATCAGAAGTTCAGAACATGCACAAGTAGCAGCTAGTACTGTTCCATATACAAGGAGAAAACCAAACAAGTCCATACGTACAATGTGTGTGTGTTCACGTGGACCTGCTACTCGTACTTGAAAATGACTGCGCAAGAACCTATACTGTATCTTTAAATACACCTCTTAGAATAAAAGGGAAAAACAGAATATATGTCTACACCTCTTCTTAAGAATAAAAGGAAAAAAGAAAGAACACCGATGTACTCCGTAAAAAACATGAAAGGAAAACATATACTGTATCTTCAAATGGGGAAAACATATATACTAGTATTTGTCTAGACCTCTTAAGAATAAAAGGGAAAAAAAAGAACACCGATGTAAAAAACAAACATGAAAGGCCGTAGACTGACATGCATCCGCATCCATCGTCGTGGACAGTTTAAAGTAATATGCCCCTCTGTACGCGCGGCAGGGGCAGGCACAAAAAATGCTACCTGCTGCTGTACTGTAGCTGCGGCAGAGGCAGGCGTTGAAAGGCTCCCCTGCCGCACTGTAGCCACAGCAGAGGAGGTGCTAAAGTCAACCCTGCTGCCACGTCTAGTCACTATAGTAGCATGACAGCCTGACATGTCTGTGTATAGGATTAGATGGGTAGAGTTGTATATATAGCTTCGCACTGCAACTCAGTGAAGAGAGAGAGTTCAGTTTTGCCATCTCTTCTACAGAGCTCCGGCCAACGTTGTGCTTGTGCTGTGTGTGTGCGCGCTCTGTTCTCCCTCCCTCTTCTACCTTTAGCCGTAGTGTGTGTGCGAGAACGCCGGTGAGCGGTCGGCTCACCTGTGCGAGAGATCTCGAGACCAACAACCGGTATCGAAGCCATACAAGCGCCGTCACCGGACT